CTTTCAAAAATTCTTGTAATGATACTATATCATTTTAATTATAGCTCTATTATTAACCTCAATATGCAAGAGAGCCATTTTTTCTCATCTTTATGGACTCTTTCTTCTTTCTTATTCAGAACTGTTCTAAATATTTTGGGGTCCTTACTCATACAAGTTAATTTAAAAAGTTAAATCCAAAATCAATTCTGTTGGAATTTTTAATACAGTTGTAATACATTTATAAATACAGTTGGAAGAAATCAATATCGTTACAATATTTTTTAAAAGGAGATCAAGATATAGAATATACAGAATCCAAAAATAGATCCAGATATTTATGGGAAATCTGTAAATCAGTGTACAAAAATGACCTCTTAATTATAGTTGTTAGAATAATGGACTTTCCACATGAAAGCAAATATAAATTAACCTCAATACCACCACCATAGACAAAAGGTAATTTCACATAGATTATGTTCTTATTTGTGAAAAAAATTTCAAAAGACTGAAAGCAAAAAATGAGGTGTTTTTTAAGATGAGACATAAGCAAAACAAAATGGAAATTATTGGCATATTTTACTAAATTAAATGTTATAAATCTTGGCACCAAAAAAAAAAAGAGTGTCAGTAGTGTTAAAGATGTATCACGCATTAGAAAATATGCTCAGCATATTATAAAACAAATTACTAAGAATAGATATTTATACTATGTAGAACTATAAATAAATAAATATAAAAAGTTAATCAGTTTAACAAGAAAAATGGACAGCCAGTATGGTACAGCATACCTGTAATACCAACATTTTGGAGACTACGGTAGGAGGATCAAAAGTTCAAGGCCAGCCTGGGCTATGTAGTGAGTTCAAAACTGATCTGGGCTATATTGCAATACTAGTGAAAAAAAAGAAAGAAAATAGAAAAAATGGGCAAGTATAGCTACAATAGCCAAGAAACACAAATAAAAGACCTCAACATCACTAATAACCAAGGACATACAAATTAAACTAGTAGTATTATACTGTTTCATATCCTCCAGATTGTTAACTTTTAGAAATATGGAAATACCAATAATTAGCAAGGATGAGAAGGAGCTAGGTGAAAAAACAAAGCAACAACAATAAAAGCCCTCCAGAAAAGGAACTAGATGAGAAAATAAATTGGTATGTTTACTTTTTAGAGAAATTTGGCTATAGCTAATAAAATTGAAAATGCTTATTGGAAATCCTACTTCTAAACATGTGTGCTGGAGAAATGTTTGCATATTTACACCAAGAAATGGATAGTATTGTGAAAATATATGTACCAAAGATAAATATGGTAATTCAGGGTAAAACTGAATAAATACATAGATGAGAGCAGCATGTATCAGTGTGACTAGACCTTGAATACTCAGGTTTAATAAAACAGCAAGTTGCAAAATAATACAGACTGGCAGTTCTTTAAAATGCAAAGACCTTTTAAAATATCTATGGAGTCAAGGTCATTTTCATCATTGCTGAGTGGATATTTTTTTATTCACTCTCATTCTCTCAGGAGTGTTCAATAAAGTTTTCCTGAGGCCACAGGATGAGTAATGATGTCATTTCTGTGATAGCTCATGCAGTAGTGTTTGCCTCATCTTGTGTTTTAAAGTTTTCTTGTTTTTAATTTCAGACGAGATCGGGAACATTCAGGGTGGTATGGCCGTAGACTTTAATTTCAAATAAATTAAATATTTATAGAACCTATATAAATAATCTCTTCAGGGTCAGTAGTATGTTGAAGAATGTAGAGTTGAATTTCAGATGTTACAGATAACTTTGTAGCCATTAGTATGGAAATGAAAACTACCAGATAAAATATTTCCATTATACAGGAAGTACAAAGTACGTGAAGTACATTACAGGAAGTAAATTACAAATCAGTATATAGGGAATTGTTAGTACTTGCAATCACAAAATACTATGTAAAAGTACCTAGCTAGAGAAGTGGGTTAAAAGAATGTTCAGTAAACTTAAGTTTGACTCCTTGGATTATAGTTTTCTGAATTCACTAGGTTTCTTGTAAATATATTAACTACACTGTATATATTTTTAATATACTCAAAATGTACTCAATAAAATTGTATAAATCCATTAAAATCATGTATAATATCAGGAAACTGAATTTAATAAATATTTGTTACCTACTTGCAATACTGCAATATAATTCTGACACTAAGCATCCAAAGGTAATATCAAACTCTGCTAGTTTACGAGCATGGTGCCCAACAAGAATGCCCTCATTTCAGATGCTTACCACAAGTTCAGGGGTCTCTAGGCCACCACACTTACACCTTTACTGGCTACAAATCTAGGTGTTTCCTGTAACTCCTCCCAGGTTTAATAGTTTTCTAGAATGACTTGTAGAACTCCGGAAAATGCTATACTTGTGTTTATAACTTTATCATAAAGAATACAAATTAAACCAGCCAAATAAATAAAGGGTTAGGTCTGGGAGGCACCTGGCAAAGAGTTTCTATGTCCTCTTCATGTGAAACCAGGGTGTGTCACCCTCCAGCACTCAGTGTGTTCACCAACCTGAAAACTCCACAGAACTTGGTATCCAGAATTTTTCTTGGGGTATTGTTACTAGGTAAAATTGAGGCAATCATTGGCCCTATGATTGAGCTCATTCTGGAACTTTTCCTCTCACGAGGTCCAGTTGGGTCAGTGCAGCAATCTTCTAATCACAGTTGTTCTTTCTGGTGACCAGCTGCCATCCTCAGTCATCACCTCAATGTCAACTCAAGTGTCATGCAAGGAGTTTGGTTTTTCCTCCCAGAAACCAGGAAGAAAAGCTGAAGTTTTTAAATAAAGCACCACTATATAGAAGAGCCCAAGATAAGCACTAGAATTGAGAAGATTCTCAGCATGAATAGAAACACTAAGATTTTAGTAAATTTTAAGTATTTAAAATCAGAAGAAAACAAAAAAGATCACTCTCAACTATGTAATTTAAACCAGAGACACCAGCTGATTACTAAAATAAACTGCTTGGAGCAAGGCTCAACCTCTCTCATTTAGTAGCCGTGTGACCTTTTGTTGATTTCCTTTATGGTACTATATCTGCATTGCAGGTAACTGATACTACAAATGGTAAGTAGTGTCTGATTAGGGTACCAATGGCAGAGGCAAGGTACTTGCCCACTTTTACTTTTCAGCAAAAGATGCATAATGAGGTGTTTTTTTTTTTTTAGAATTAACTAAAATACAGTATTATGTGAGTCCATTGCTGATCAGATGGACAGCACTCAAAGATAACTATGATTTTTCCATCTTAAACTCTAGCAGAGTTAAAATGAATAAATCCAGATAGAGATATCAAAATGAGGAGAAATAAATTTTTATAAAACTGATGATATAAATTAAGCAATATAAAACATATTCAAAATGCTTTTTTAAATGTTTAATTTTTTTTTACTTTTGTCTAAACAGCTTCTCATTATTATTCATACTTGAAGCCTTACCTCTGTCACTGATACCCTAATCAGACACTACTTATAACTTGTAGCATCTGTTACATACAATACACTTATGATACCATAAAGGAAATCAGTGAAAGAATCCACAGATGGGCTTCAAGGCATCCATAAATCTCCTGTCTTTGGCATCCCTGGTTTCTTTATTTTCCTGCTAATGTAGCTTTGCAATTAAAAAATTGATTGTTTATAAATGTCAGAGCATTTTTATGTGCAACTTGATAGGAAGGATTTTTAAATGTTTTCTTCATAACTAACCAAATTACAGTTTTTACGTATTTTCACAAAGTATGCACAATAAGTTAAAAATTGTTATACAAGTAGTAAATACCTCAAGAAATTCATGACCACCAAACCAGCATTACCGAAAATTCTTAAGGATATCCTAGAGAGTGATGACTCAAATCTTTAAATTCTCTATTAAAATAGTTTCCTACTAGATGTAATAGTGTGTTTTTTAAAAAGCTGATGGCTAAGCAGCAGTTGAAATCTGTTCTTTACTATTTAAATTAAAATTAGAAAAAAGGTGAAACTAGTTACACTAACCAAATACTCCTGTCACCTACTTTACCCAGTGTTATCATTCTTTGAGTTGATATTAAAATAATCTTCATTCCTTTCTAGCATGTTCCTTTATTTGTTTATGTCCTCTACTCAAAGCCTCTTAAATCCCAGAGTGCTACAAAGAAGAGTATGAAGTCCAGTGATCATCTCTGACCTTAGAGAGAAATCCATAGCGTTCATAAAACTATTACTTTATAACTGGCTCAAGAATTTAAAGCAGAACTTGCTGCTTTATTGTAATTTGGTTGTCTTACCTGTATAGACTTACAGTTACGAAATTTATCTAAAATTTTGGATCGCTCTAATTCAATTTAATATAGTGTCTTCGGTATGCACTGTGGACAAATACTGGTTTTTGTGGTTTAATTAACTGCAGGTATAAAATAGGATAAATAATGCCACATTTTAGGTCTTTCAAATGAATTTTTGACATGGATATTTAATTTTTAAATCATATCTAATAAGAAAATGGTTTACCCGTTAATCAGAATTATGATATCTTCTTTCATAGGAATTAAGTCAGATGCTCTCAGAAACACCACCAGTTTGGAAGGGATCATCAAAGCTATTTCGTAATCTTAAAGAAAGAGGTAAGTTAATGTTAGTACATGCATTGTAATATTAACACTATGTTCTTTATACTATCATGTATATATTTTTCTCATAAATTCTAAAATTACTTATTTGTATGTACAGAAAAAAAGCTGAAAAGAAAAATGCCAAAATATGAATTTCTCTGGGTGGCAACGTAATTTTTTTTTCTGGAACCTGGGATCAACTTCAGGACATTGCACTTGTGAGGCAGGCACAGTGCTACTGAGCTAAATCCCTGGTTCCAGTAATGTAATTTTGAGTAGTGTAATTAAGGGTAGTTTTTATGTTATTTTGTACATATATTATTCCTTTCACATTTTTTGCAAAAATATGAACTTTCATAGTTAAAAACCCCCACTTTTAACTATAATGAAAAACAAAGTATACTTATCCATAGAAAGTATTTTTCAAAAATACTACATCTTCAAATATCTATTCTTCTTTCTGTTACATTAGAACATTAGAATTTAATGATTAATCTTAAAATTAAGTTTATTTGCTTAAAATGTGACCCAGCAAGAGAATGTTATGCAGTTTTAAAAATAATTAATATGTGACACAAAAACATGTTACATAGATTTAGTTATAACAGCCAGCTGTAATGTATCATGGTACAGAAATTAAACAATGTAATGATATTTTTATGATAATTGTAACGATAAAGAACTTCCTTTAATTTTTTTACTGAATTTTCAAAAGAAACCTAGTTCACATTTTTTAATCCTCTTTCTAAAGATTGTACCATTATTATATGTTTAGTATTTATTTTATTTTTTCCTCTGATTCTGAATAATGTTAAATCATTTTTTAACTGGAAAGCATTAAGAACTTACGATTTTTCTTTAGCAATATTTTTTCTTTTCTTTTACCAATCATCCTGAGTTTCACTTTATTCCCCTTCCTTGTGGGTTATTTCTTTAACCATGTAGTCCTACAAATAAATGCCTACCGTGAGAATCATGATCAAGACTGTCAATATTAAGTAACCACCCTCACATGAGAAAATCTTGAATTAATTATCAAATAAAAATGCATAGCAGTTATTAAAATTCTTTATACCAACCAGCATCTCTTATGTATTCGATCAGGTGAATCAGAGCACGTCAGGGACATGGGATTGTGGAGACAGCAAGGCCGTTTTCCACTCCTGTTTCTCTTTTATCCTTTTGCATTTATGCTTTTTTTTTTTCTTTTTGACGGGTCCCTTTGGAATCTAAGTATTGTATCTTTATATACATTGACCATTTCAGAATCTTTCTCCCATAACATTTATGGCGATCAGCCAGAACTATCTGTCTATAGGTCACAGTATTCTAGTATAAACAAAAGAGAATGCTTTCAAAGCCTCCTAGGTAGTTCCCTTTTCTCTGACAAACTGCCAGACAATGACTTCTCTTCTCTTTGTTCTATAACCTCAAAGAACATTAGATAAATAGAGATTTAATGTTCACAATCTGATTATTTAAAGATTTTTATACCCTGTTACTAAACATCAAATTGTATGCTATCTAGATAAGTACTATAGACTTATTCCTAATTTTAATTATCTCTATCTCCTTGGATGTGTCAATAAAACCACTAATTCTAGTTTTGAGTATTAGAGTACAAAGGCAAGAATTCAAGTAACAGGATGTATATTTTTATTTACTTCAACCAATCTCCTTTTAAAGTTTGTAATTATAGTCATAGAGAACTCAGGATATGTATACTGTAATCCATTCAATTAATATAAAAACTTATGATGACATTTAATAGAAGTATTGTCAGAATAATAAATGATAATTTGACAGACTTGTGAATATAAACTTTTATTTTTAAGTCAATGCAAATATCTAAGCAAGAATATCTAAATATTTTATTTAAGTGTTAAGTAATTAAGCTTTTTGATAATATTAGCCATTTCTGACCCATTTATTTTATGTCATATTCATGCATAAAAAATTAGCAATAATTTTAAAAGTTACAACTATAACTAAACATTATAATCTTGATTTCTTGCCAATATATTTGAAAGCATTAAGGAGGATTTTTGTATGGGGCTCTACAATAGCATATGGAACAATTAAGGTAAAATTAATTTTGCTGCTTCTTTTACAGTGGTTTTATACTGCTAATTTAGTCTCATTTAAAACAATATTTAGTATCTACTTTAAAACTGTAAACTATTTTGCTTTTACTTTGATACATATAAAATAATATTTCATATAGCATAATTGGTACTATTTTTCTTCTAGGTGTGATTTCTTATACAGAATATCTTTTTCTTTTATGTATTTTAACAAGTAAGTATACTCATTAAATCTATTTCTAGATGCAGTTTTATTTTTTAATCTGAATCTTATAAACAGATCTTTCTTCTTTTATTATTGAAAATTCCTTTAGGTCTATGTTTGTTTTATTGCAAAAATAATGTCTAAATAATACAGAAAAATGCTAATTATAGCACTGTTAAAGAGTCAAAAACAAATATTTTCGTTATGGCATAGTAATAAACTGCTTATAAATTTCAACTTAATATCACATGCCTATTTATTTTTACTTTTAATCTACATGACACTGCAAAGTTCAGGACATATAATAATGTTCCTACTGCATTCATTTAAAAAAGATTTCTGTGCAAGACGAATGTGAGAATGAATTCTGAGTCTCATGAGTGGTGAGTGTATCAGAATACCCATCGTCCCTACCTGGAAACAGCTTTGTTACTTTCTTCTTCTCACATGCAGCAGTTCTAATGAAATATATGTAGGGTTTACTAACATTTTCATTTCAGAAATATTTCTTTTGCATTTATTGGGGGAAATTGTATGCTATAGCACTATTTACTCTTCTCCTGCCACCTGGCCTTTCTGTTCCTTGAACTCCCCCTTCACAGATTTGTAGTTTCTGCTTTTTCTTTTTTTTTTTTTTTTCTTTTTTTGCCACCAGTGGTTGGTTTCCTGGAGATCTTCATGAAACACCTTTCAGATTTCAAATATAAAGATTTAAAGAATTATTGCTTTGTCTTTCTAGAATAGCTCCTCTTCTATATCTCCTTTTAATCCTTTATCTTCATAAAATTGTATTTTATTTTAAAATATTATTGGCTTATGTGCTCTTGTCTCACTCTCCTACCTGGAGTACAGACTCCGTAGTGTCAAAAATATATATTTTGTCCATCTCTGTATCAAAAACAATGTCTTGCACATAGTACACTCTCAAAAAATAATTCATGAATAAAGAAAGAAAGGATTGAGAGAATATAATACTGCTCTTGAAATTTCCAATTGTGGGGATTTGTGGAGGTATATGGAAATAAGAATATCAATAAAACTGTCATTAGAAATAAGTTTAAGGGCCAGGGATTTAGCTCAGTGGTTCCGCCACCTGTTTTGAAAGCTTAAGGTCCTGAGTTTGATCCCCAGTACCAAAAAAAAAAAAAGAAACAAGTTTAAAAATACACAGTACTTATATGATTAGAAAATTTAAACCACTATGTTATTGTTCACTTAGTAAAGAATGCTATTACAGGGAGTTGTATTGTAGCAGGTTTTATAGGGGAGAAAGGAGAATGTGTTCATAGCACAAATATGCTTCAAAATTATATTCTTTTATTTTTGTATATTTTTTCTCTAGACTTAAAATGAAAATAAAATATTAGTGCTGAAGAACAAATATAATGCAGCTTATATTAGGGCTACCTGAGGTTCTTCCAGTTTAGAAATAAAATGATGATAAAAAAGATTCTAAAATCCAATCAATAATGAATGCCAGCAGGAAAATTAGAGTGGCAGAAGTGCCAAGGAGTGTCTCGGGAATGTATTGAAAAGTAGTCCTTCTAGCCAGAACAACACTGAATGCAGTATTGGTAGTTTTACACCCATACTCAAAATGAAAGGCCAAAATGAGGATGGTGCTGTTTAGGAGAGCTAATTGTTGAAAGGGAACAAGGTAGGTTTTGCTTACTAATCCCTTTGGATACTATGATGCTTCCATTGGTATTCAGGACACAACTGTAGAAGCTTTAAAGAGTTTGAATGGAAAAATTATGGAATGTTTCGGTTATAAGTAAGAGAAGTGTGAAAAGCTGGGAGGAAGTGGGCTATATAATTTACAGTGCATGTCTGTGTTTTTTCTTTACCTTTTACTATTCATTTTCCCTTCCAATCACTGCTTGTAAGGATGCTGTTCTTTATAAGTTTTTAAGGTCATTTTAAAGCTTAAAACTCAGCAAAGATGGTGTAAATTTTTATTACTTTTCAAGTAAACGATAATGAAAGTAAGGTTAGATTTCTGAAAGACATGCAAGAAATGAGCTAACATAAAGGACTGACTTGTGTCAGCTTCAGAAACAGCTATTCCCAGTGAAGAAAGTAGGACTATCTGCTTCTTTCTTGTCAGGTTCAAGATTTCATAATAGGTAATAACAAAAGCATCAGTGGGGGATCTGTTTTTAAAACCTTTGCTAGTCATCTCAAAAGGAAAGGTCAAATATTTTGAGAAAGGCATGTGCAGTCCTCTGTGAAGGACACTCAAATTTTCTTCATTCCCAGATTTTCTTCTTTATGTTCTAGAATTAAGAAAAGCAGAGAAAGAATCTCATTTTATATATAAGGTTCATAAAAATAAAGCAATTTTGCGTACCTGAGAGCTTTTTTCAATAAAGCATTTGTTCCATATTTTTGAGAAATTGGAAATTACTTATTCAAATCTCTTTTATTTTGTATTTCTGTTTTTGAAATTTAAACCCAAATCTGTAATTTCTTAGACTTGCTGTTTATTACCATAGGCCATTTCAGTTAAAACTGTCTGAAGAATGAGGACTCATTCGTCATATTTTTATTTTTTTCGGCACTTTAAGTAGATAATCCAATCATATTAAAAATATTTCAAGTGTGATAATTGATATTTTCCTTTTAAATAAAATTATCCTTTTGTAAGGACAGTAGTCAGTTTTTTTCTTTTTAGTGCCATGTGGGATAACAAGGACTTTTAAAGCATATTACTGGATTAGGGGTGTAGCTTAGTGATAAAATGATTGTTTGATATGTGATAGGCCTTGGATTCAATTCCAATACCACAAAAATAAAGTATATTATTAATTCTGTTAAGTCCACTAATATTGAAAGCAGAAATATGTATATTTCTATATAGCTTTTATTATATTTAATAGTAACATGTTGCTTTGAATTTCTTGGTTTTAAAAAGTATTTCTGTACAGCAAATGAGTAATTCTTTACAGCTAATATAGATTTAAAATACATTTTTCTATTTCATGAATACTTTTTTTTATGGCAGAGCCACATGCAGGTTTTAGAATAGCTTTCAACATGTTTGACACTGATGGCAATGAGATGGTGGATAAAAAGGAGTTTTTGGTGGTATGTATATTGTATGCTACATTTATCAATAAATATTTATAGTTTATGGTTTTGCCTTTTGAAAAATATTACTGTATAGTAAATGTAAAAAATGTGTGCTTTCACCTTAATTTAATAAAAAGTAATATACTCATACAATGTGAATATATATATATTATATAAAGATATAAATTCTGTTTAGTATATCAAATTATTATGGTTTTGTATATACTATCTGGAAATTTGGAATGTATCAGATATTTCTGTGTTGGCTGGATATCAGAAAGTCCTCAGAGTGTATTTGCCCAGTTTATATTCAGAATGAACTTTCAGAAAGAATCTGTTTATCTAAATAATCTTGAATAAGAATTGTGTGTCAAGACTGCCAAGTTCTACACAGCTGACATAAAGATGAATTTTTGGAGGCAGAAAGATTGTAAATTAGAGACCAGCCTGGAAGACTTAGCAAGATACTGTCTCAAATTTTTTTAAATAACAAAGTAAAAGCAAATTTTTAAAAAGTTGATTATATAGATGCCTTTTGGAATATAATCTGTAGAGTTCAGAGAGAAAACCATTCACAATAACCTCCTATTGTTTTCCACTCTGCATTCTTGGAAAAACCTATCCTTCCTTTAAAACTGCTGTGTGATCTTTTCAGGTCTTATATTGCTGCCCCATAAGTGATATTTGCTTGTTTGTTTGCAAATAGCTCATAAAAGTAGGAGGTAGAATTTGGCTAAGTTATTTGTAGATGTCTAAAATCTTGGGAAGGAACATTTTATTTTACTTTCAGCTTTTAGAATATTTTTTAAAAAGTTGAGGTAGATGTCAAATTATGCACATGAGAGCAACAAGCTCATTTTTTTATTGGATCTTAAGAACAAATGACCAATAAATATATAAAAATATGTTCAACATCTCTAAATAGAAATTTAATTGGGGTGTTTTTTTTGTTACTTATACTACTTCCAGAGGCAATTTGTGGATCTTCCAGTAAAAATACATACTTATCATGAACATTCATCTTCTAGAGAAATGTAAAGTAAAACAATACTGAGATTCCATCTTACCCTAGAAAGAATGGCTATCATCAAGAAATCAAATAATAGCAAATGTTGGTGAGGCTGTGAGGGAAAGGAAGCCTTTTCAGTTATTGGTGGGACTGTGAACTAGTACAACCTCTATGGAACAGAATGGAGATTGCTCTAAAACTAAAAATAGAAATTCCACTCTTCCCAAAAGAGTTAAAAAACATATTACAATGATACATACATATTAAAACCACATAACTCATAATAGCTAAATAGTGGAAGTGGACTGTATGTCCATTAACATGTGTAGCATTTATACATAATGGAGTACTACTATGCCACAAAGAAGGATACATGAGTAATTTATGGGAAAATGAATCTACCTTGAGATTATAATGTTAAGTGAAAGCAAACACAGACGTGTAAATATTGCATAATTTCTCATATCAGAAACCTGAGATAAAGAGCAAAGTAAAATATAATAGGAAATAAGGAGATAATCTTTTATAAATGGGGAGGGAACCGAAAGATGAAGAGACTGCTTACAGAGGCGAGGAGAGAGATGAAAAGAGTGTGTTACATACATGTACCAATGCCTCACAAGAAATGTAAACATTATGTACTGCAAACATGTACTAATAAAATAAAATTTTTTAACGTAACAAGCTCTCCATTTCTTCCTATTTCACATTGTCAATTATACCATTAGGATCTTATGTACCATTATAGATTTTCACACCAGAGAAATTATTCGATATTTATACATGTGTGACTTACTTATTTCACTTAGGAGTAAATCCTCAACATGTAAGGTATAGGGGAAGTGGGAAGGGTAGGGAAAGGAAATAAGAGGAAAAAAATGAGAAAATGAAAATAAAGTATTTGTAAACAGGGAAGGAAGGAGGGGGTGAAGGGAGGGCAGGGGTATGGGGAATAAAATGAGAACCTATACATGTCATGTAGAGGTACAAGATCCCAATGATGAATGTAACTGTACTGTATACCTAAAATGTACCAATAAACTCAGTGAGAAAAAAAAAGTAAGCTCTCCAGAAAATGATAAAGAGCTAAGATTAAACTGTCATTTTTTAATTGTAGGGTTTTAAAGAGGAAAATACCACTACTAATAATGATAACTAACGTTTATTGAGAACCTCCTATATGACAGGAAATATGCTAAGTATGTGTAATATTGATTGCCTACAACATTCTGGTTTTTGGAGACAGGGTCTCACTATATAGTTGAGACTGACTTGGAACTCACTAAGTAGCCTAGGCTGGTCTCGAACTTGCAGCAATCCTCCTGCCTCAGCCTCCCGAGTGCTGGGATTACAGGCATGCACCACCTTGCCTGGCTTCCCCACAACATTCTGTAAGGAGAGGAATTATCTCCATGTCCCAGATAAGGAAAACAAACCTTAATTAAATCAACTTGCCTAAGGAATAATACCTATAGAGCCTATTCTTCCACCACCATGTTCAGTTGCCTGAAAGAAATTTTGGATGTTATGTATGTAGTCTGTCCTCATTTCATACCTGAGAAAATCGGAGCCCAGTGAGGGTTGAATAGCCTGTCTTCTGTAATAAAATTAATGTATGACAGAAACTGAACTCAAACTCGGAGTCCTTCATATTATTCCACAGTTCTAATAGGCTTTATCTCCTTTTCTGTGTGGGCCTCAGACTCCATGTCTTTCTGTATTAGAGATGAAGTAAAACTATAGCATTAAACATATTTAACTTAACTGTGGATCACCATTGCTAGAAATGTTTTTATTTTTCCTCCTGGGAAGAACATTGAAATCAGAAAATATATCTCATGTAGTTTAAATGCTCTTGATTGATTAGATTAATTACTTTCTTTGGTTTGGGATATAACTAGCACAGGGTGGTAGGTAGTGCCCTGAAACTCCTGTTGGATATTGCATTCTTGATTGATTTCCTTGCAGCTTCAAGAGATATTCAGGAAAAAAAATGAAAAGAGAGAAACTAAAGGAGATGAAGAAAAGCGTGCAATGCTGGTAAGAAATACTTTATAGTAGTTTCAGGTGGCTTTTCCAGGTGAGAATTATTTTATTCGTGATGAGAAGCATTAATTAAAATTTAGAACTTTGGAAGTGTTTCTTGAAAACATTCTAAAATTCTTATGTAGCAAATTACTTCAGTATTTATATGCATCAATATCAATATTTATGTTAAATATTGATATTAAATATCTGTACTCATAGTCACATTCATTAAACCATTTTCATCCACATTGTTATCTGTGAAATTTGAAGGGTATATCTTATAGTAGATTAATACAGATCATTATGCATGTAAAATTTAAAGGTGAATTGCAAAGATTTAATTATATGAGTCAATTTAATGTTAATATTAGAATATGAATGTTGAAGCAAATACAAGGAAGTATGTTGTTTTGCATTCTTAGAAATACAGGTTCTTCTGTGATCCGTAATATTTTTGTTTAGTACGAAGTTAGAATTAACATTTCCTTCCATCCTCCTACCAGTTCTCTTTTTGTTGTCAGAAATATTTCAGCCACCAGCAGACAAATTCATATATTAAAAATAAAAAATGAGTTCAAAGACCTTACTATTAGGCTTTATATTTGATGTTCTACTGCGTTTTCAGATTCCATCTACCCTGGTAGTTCTCTTACTGTCCATAATTATAGGTGGAAATTGAGAAATGGAAAGGTTAAGTATCCTATCCAAAGTTACATAGCTGTTAATTTGCAAAGTCAGTATTTGAAGCCATGTCTGGCCCCCATCAAAACCTGTACTTTTATCCAGCATACCATATTTCTTCATCTGCTTACATTGATACCAGAAATATAGTAAATTTTGTTACTATGTGAATGATAATAGTTTCATTTTCAAATTAATAACTGTGCAGTAAACTGTCCTACATAAAGTTGAAATAGCTAACTTCATTTTTTATAATTCTCACATTTATTAATTTTAAAAAATGGATTATCTTATCTATGTAATTAATGCCATATTCAATCCCAATATATTTATGAAATACATGTTTATTTCTAGTTTAAGTAAAGCAGATTATCTGGATTATGAAATATCACTTTCTATGCTATTTTACTAAGTTATAATTTATCAGCATTTGATGAACCTCCCCCAGTATCATATTGACAAATCTTACTGATGACAGTCTTTAAAAAATCACCAAGCTCATTATAATGTTAGCAAAGTATTAAAAGGGGCATTAGTAGTTCTCTGTTTAATGCCTTACAGTTTTAAAATTGTGATTAAAAAACCCTATAAATAGCCCCATAAATGCAGCTGTTTGGAGTATTAGCAAAGAAGCCTGGAAAATTTAAATATCTTCTATTTCCTATACATAATGTATTAAAAAAATAAGTGGTTATTCTAATTTTGATAGATTGCCTGTAACTATAATTGACTGAATAGGCAAGTTATTAATAATTATCACTTAAGGAGGTTGAATTACATTAATGATTCTGTTAAAATACCTTAGTAAATAATATTTAAGTGGCTAGAAATGTAATTGCTTTATTTGTTATTTATATTATTTCCAGAGATAATTTATTTATCTCCTAGCAAAAGCACAATGATTTCAATCATTAACATTCATTCCAATTTATACATCAAATAAAAAAGGGAGAAAGGTATGGGAAAATAATAGACAATACACATTAGGAAAAACTACAGCATTAGCACAGAACTTGGCTCTTAACTTCATTGTATCCAATGTGAAGGAAATTTAATGTAAATATTTTGTAATTGTGACATGCTATAATCTCACTAACTTGGATTAACTAGGGGACTTCTATCTTAAGTGTGAAATCTAAATTACATCACTGTACCCTAACTTGTTTTATATGCTTATAGGCCAATGAAGCATTGCCTAGCAAATATGTAGGGAAGGAGACTTAGTTTTAAAGAACAGAAAAAATATATATGTAACTTGCTTGTGTGTAGAGCAATGCTCCCTAAAGTCATTGATCTCCTCAGCTACCTCAGAGGACTTTATCCTATATGGTAATTTATTGCTCCTGAGATCTCACTTAAATAAATTGGCTGTTAGAACTATTTCTTAAGACAATTCAGAAATAAATCTATGACTCATCTCTGATTGACAGCACTCTTCAACAGTACAGCTTTCTACAAATATTAATTACTGTTTAATAATAATGATTAGTTTTAACTGATTAATAGTCATGTTATAAGCAATGAAAACCTGAACTAAGATTTTTTAATAAACAATGGAAATCTGAGCTAAAATTCTATTTTATATTTTAGCTATAATGGATCCTGCAGAATGGAAGGTGACATTGTCAAAGTGCTAGAAATGACAGTATAATTGGATACGTTCTTAAAATATTTCACTTGAATTTTAAAGCAACTGAAACTTAGCTCATTATGAAAACATAGGATTGCATTAGAGACACAGCGTAACAGGCACAGAAGCCACATTTGAGGGGTTTGAATATTAGCTCTGCCACTCTTGTTACCTTTGTGATTTTTGAATAACATCATTAACTTCTCTGTGCCTTAGGTTTTTTCATTTATACAGTTGGAGTAACAGGAGTAATGACCACATGTGATTTTTTTTATGGGAACTAAATAAAACAGTCACTTAACAGTATGTGAAATATAATGAACACTCAAAAAGGTTAACTAATAGTAAAATTTAATAGAACCACATAGGTACTTTAATATACCCAAATCAAAATTAATCCGAATGAGATTTATAAATATTTGCATGTCAAAATAAAACTGTGCTTCAGAAGGAGCAAAGTAAATGTAACATTTGTTGGGGCACTTACATGCTAAGTGCTGCATTGTGTCTATAATAAATGTTACACCATTTAGTTCTTGTTACACTTTTCCCGGGTAAGTATTACACCTGTTTTGCAGATGAGAAAACAATCTTAGGTTAACTTGTCTGTCATAGCACTGATTATAGCAGAACAGGCTTCTAAAACAGGTGTCTTACATTATTTTCACGCTTATGCTGCTGTATTAGAGTTTCCTCCATCCCATGAGAAATTACTGAAACCTATGTAAATAAAACTGCATATTTAAGAGGAGCATGTTTTACTCAAAGCAATAGTGCCATTAGAAGGTTACAAGTAAAGTGGTTGAAATGAGCACAAATTCATCTAATGTTTAATTACATGAATTTAGAAAACTTTGCTACTCATCTTTAACATTTATCCCACTTGTGTGTGTGCTCTATAGAGAATGTAGCATAATGATTTGCCCTTCCTAATTGATTATTTTGTCGTCTTTTCTTTTTTTCTTTTCCTGTACTTGGGTTCATTCTGAAATGTGAAACTTCATTTGGCCCTTTGTGCTCTATGTCAGCGTCTTCAACTTTATGGATACCATTCTCCTACTAATAGTGTATGTACAATACTTTAAATGTTCTTTATGTATATATCCCTCACCTGTTATACTTGATAATGTTACTTTTCTCTATAAAGTTATAGCTGTTATTCAGAATGTTTTGGAGTTTATTAAATACAGTATGGTGCAATCAATTCAAATTTTTAGATTTCCTTCCTAAATTTATGAGGAGGCTAAAATATACAAAACAAGTGTATATCTTTATTAACTGCATGTCTATTAATTATAATAAAGGAAAGGGAGTGAAGAATCAGCACTAAAAGCTGTTACAATAAAGTTTTTTATTTTTCAGCAGTATTTGAGAAGCTATATAATAAATAATAGATCAAGAGATAGGCTATGCTCCTGCTAGACACAGGTATTTTAAGAATTGAATCTGTTTGTCTGGTATATAGTCTTCAAGTCTAATGAAGTATATTAGTAGTCAATTTTAGTTTTCAGTATTTCTCACAAATTTTTAAAACCCTGTTACCTACCTACTTTTTCTGGTTTATACAAAAGAAATACTGGGATAAGATACTATTTGATAGATTTAATATAGCAATGGATTGAGTCCTTTCTCAAAGATTATAATTTCCAGATTTTTCTTGTCTTAAAAATTTTGAAAGTTCCTATAATATGGACTTCCAAATATACTGTTCTTAAGCTGAGCTTTCATCTTTCATTTCTCTTTTGAAAGTCAGAGCTTGTTGTTAACCCATCAGAGAGCAACTAAGAATAAACCATGACTCTTTAAAATGTAAACATGAACAGTTCATTTAACTTCCCCAGAGATCCTTCAGCCATTTAAAGGATCCTTCAAACTATAGAAATTCTACCTGAGGAACTTTTGGTTTTTTTTAACTATGACAGTTTTCATTTTTCCTTTAATCTCATAAATAATTTTCATATAGAATAATTATGTGTTTTTAAAAGAATCTCAGAGTAATACTATTGTTAAAATGAAATAGACATTAATATAGCTCTAGTTTACACTATTATACACATTGTAGTCACTCAGCCATTAAGAGAATCATACTGAGTATACTCAATTGCTTTGTATTTCATTTATATTATACTTGTTAGTAGGAAAATATACTTATGATTTTACATTTTAACAAATAACATTTTTTTATACTTTCACTGAAGACAGCTTTTTTCTATATTCAAAATATACATGTTGAGGTATATAACTTGATATCCACAGACCTAAATGAATTGCATGATTTTTCAACTCCCTTAGGAATTTATTTGGTTTTTATAATAGAAACAATTTTGTTAAAAAAAGAAATAATTATTTTCAAAAGCCACAAGCAAACAAGATTTTATTTAAAAAATTGTTTTAAATCCAAACCTAAAAGTACATATGAAATGCTGTTGATGTAACATATTACAGTGCTATAAATTAACTGCTAATTAACTGAGAGTTTCCAGAGTTCCAGCTTACTGAAATGCTTATTTGAATGTAGACAATGGAGCTAAATATAACCTAAGAAATTTATAGTAACGAGTTTCTACCTGTAAGCCAATTTTCTGCAGGAAAGGCAGTGGTCACCTTAGCTTATAGACATAGATTCTCTAGACTCTGGAGTACCCTATTCCAAAATTTAATGGGTCTTATGGTTGTTAAATTAACACAAGACTCTTGCAGCCTAAAGCCAAATTACTTTCTCCTACAGTGAAAAACTGAGCATATTCTCTTGTATCCATAAAGATACCTGTTACCCTATATAAAAATATAACATTTTCTGATCCAAACAATTCTGATTCTTATAATATTTCTCATACAGTCAATTCATAATTACCTCACAATGATGAAAAAGTATAAAAATTCAAAAGAAAGAATGTCAAAGTTAAATGTGTCCGACTTTGGTATGCTTTATGTGATTTTTAAAAGAATTATTCTGATTAACCCTAATTCCATAGAAAATGTACTAATTTTTACACCAGTTATTTGACATATATTGAGAGTCTAAAGGACTAAAACAGTGTCAATATTCATAAATCTTTAGTTTAAAAGAATATATATTTTCCAATTTGGGGTACAGTGTTGTAAGATATATATAGATATATATATATATAAATATAAATATATATATATATATATCCATACATATATATATACTGCTATGCATATTAATCATATGTTTTAGATCTTTGTTGTTACTGAGATTTTTATCTTCTTGATTTTTTACCATATTATACATAATGATAGATTTATTAATTTCTACTCATAATTATCTTAAATTTGGGTTTAATATATTTTGCAACATTGTTATGTGCATACAAATATAGATTTATATCAGCAAATTGAATATTTTATTATGTATATATTAGATTTCTAGAAGTGTTTATTTTAAAAACTATTCTAATTATCAAAATATATTACCTTTATCTTAACATTTTGTATTATTTTTAATTTTTTTGTTTTTTAAATTTTTTAATATTTTTAATTTTTTTTTTTCTGTTTTTTTCCTGTATTACTGGTGAAGGCTTTCCTATCTTTGGGGGTTTGTTTTTGGTTTTTTGTTTTGTTTTGTTTTTTTGGTTTTTGAGACAGGATCTCACCATGTAGTTCAGGCTAGTTTTGAACTCACTGTGTACCCTAGTCTGGCCTTGAACTCACAGTGATCTCCTTACCTCAGCTTCCTAGGTGGCTGGGATTACAGGTGTGCCCAGCTTGCCCTCCTAATCTTTTTTTTGGGGCGGGGGCTTGGTTTTTGGAGACAGGATCTCACTATGTAGTGAGAGTGAGTGGAACTCACTATGTAACTCAGGCTGGTCTCGAACTCACAGGGATCCTCCTGCCTCAGCCTCCCAAGTGCTGAGATTACAGGCATGTGCCACCATGCCCGGCCTTGCCTTCCTAATCTAAACTGTTCCTTTAAAATTATTTTTTAGTTTAGAATTAACTGCAAATATAAATATAATGAATAACTGAATTATAAAAGTTTAACCACCATGCAGTTCAAGATAGAGAATATTGCTGTACCCCAAGAAACTGTTTCATAAATGTCCCCAATCATGATCCCTCACTGTCCTGCAGAAGATAACCAGTCATGATTTTTATGTGAATCACTTCTTTGCTTTGCTTCCAATTATGTATCCTAAGCAATATAGTTTCATTATTACCAATTTTTGTTCCTCATATAAATTAAATATTATGTGAATATTTTTGTCTTGTCTCACTCATTATCTGATCACTTTCCTCCTTGTTGTATTACTGTATAGTACTAGTTCATTCTCTTTTACTGCTGTAAGCTATGACTCAAATATTTTGGTCTTGGACTGGGGATTTCTCTCAGTGGTGCCACTGCCTGCCTCACAAATGCAAGGTCCCGAGTTCAATCCCCAGTGCAAAAAAAAAAAAAAAAAAAAAAAAAAATTTGGTCTTGTGATCTCTTTACATTGTTGATAATCCTTGAAGATCCTAAAAAGATTTAGTTTATGTGAGTTATATCTGTCTATATTTTTCATATTAGAAATTAAAACTGAGGAATTAAAATATTGATCATTTTCAATAACAACATGAAGCAATATATGTTAATGAGCAACTTTATGAAAAATAACTTCTTGAAGATGTAGTGAGAAGATTGGGAATCTTATACATTCTTTGCAGTTCTCTTTAACCATTGGCTTAATGGAAGATGGCTAGTTTTTTATAGTCATTTTTGCATTCAATATGTTGCAATATGTTATTTTGGGACCAGTCCTCTCAGTTGTTTACCTTGAAGCAACATGCTCCTTTAACTCATTTTCAAAAACATGTCTACCATATATCAAAATCTGAATAACCATAATTTGTTTAACAGTTATTCTTTCAAATAAAAAGGATGATTCATGGAAAAAAGTGCTTGCAACACAATCATCAGACAAATGTCCTTTCTGGAGACAACTGTAGTACTTGAGTATGTAGCAAAAGGGCTTTATGCATTCTTCCTGTTTCATCACACCAAGTATAAAAAGATGTATATTCGGAGTTCCAGCAAGTGCATTCATTAAGTAAAACTTTTTTTTTCTCATCTGTGAGTATGTGTCACTGAAGGATAAAATGATGCTGGTCTTTGGTTACACTTCCTTATTGATACCAGCACTTTTATTCATCATTACTTGTACACTGTCAGTGCAAAACTCATCACCATGCCAAAGGCAAATGTCTGTAAGGTGCTTAAATAAGAATCTATCTCATTTTTGTCCTGCTTTTTCAGTCATTCTCAGTGAGAAAGTTGGTGCTAAGGACTAGCCTCTAATTAAATAACAGGTTTTTTTGTGAGTTATACTGGTTTCCTTTTATCCTAGGTGACAGTCTGCTTCATTTTAGTTGGTGAATTCAATTAATCTGCATTACCTATGGTTACTTACTGATTTGAATTTTACAATCTTTGCAATTCTCTTTAACCATTGGCTTAATGGAAGATGGCTAGTTTTTCATATACTAGCTATACACTATTCTTTTTTTCTTCCTTTCCTGCTTTCTTTTAACTGCTTTTTAAGATTAGAAAATATTTATTTCTATTCTTTAAATTTTAATATGTATATTTAAAATAATAATGTTTTAAACATTATCTTACTCTTTTCCTGAATAATTCTTTCAAATACAGCTTCATAGTCTTTAAACTTACTAAACTTACCTTGCATTCTGTATCTGATCATTTCGATATCTAAGATCTGTTCTATTATTGTTTCAAATGGCTGTTATTTATGGTGGCATATGTTTTTTTGGTTCAGTAATCTTGTATTGTGAGCATATATTTATTGGAATGTCTTTGTGAAGATTCTTTACACACCTGGTGAAATACACTGTTCAAACTAGGATTATGTCAGGTTTTTCTTTTATGACTTTTGTTTGTTTGTTTGTTTGTTTCCTTTGAGATATACCTGGAGCCAAGTATGGCAATACACAGCTGTAATCTCAGCTGATGCAGGAGGATCACAAGTTCAAGCCCAGCCTGGACAATTTAGCACCTTAGGGAAACCCTATCTCTGAGATAGATAGATACATAGATAGATACATAGATAGATACATAGATAGATACATAGATAGACACATAGAAAGAATAAGAAAGAAAGAATTTTTTAAAAGTCATACCTGGTGAAACCATAGTCCCACACAACTTTAAATTACAATTATCAAATTACTGTTTTTAGAACTACAGTTTTCATAGTGGTACAAAATATAAAGATACAGTTGTTTTTTTTTTTATTTACGTGTCTATTCAGTATCATTTGAATATCATGTAATAAAGACAGTTTACTCTCTGCTTCTATGGGTTGTTATTTTTCCCATGGTTGACCTAATCACTGGGTAAAATATTTCTCAGACCCTAATTTTTATGGGGGACATGTACAACTTTGGAGAGCCATTATTCTGTTTACCACAGAGATGTATTACCATCTCTACATCAGTCTTTTTCTTCCTAACTTCCCTTTTCTGTCTTTCTTCCCTCTTTTTCTTCACTCTCTCCTACTTGCCTGCTTTTCTTTCTTCCTATAATAGATGCCATGGAATGCCTTGATTAGAATCCTGATTTGACTTAGCCAAAAAAGGCATAGGAAACTCTTGACCAAAACTGCAAAGTTTAAGGGAGTTCTACCAATAATAGCCTCAGAACTGAGGCAAAAAGTATATCTGACTTGGATATCCGATATATTCAGTACTCATTTTGCCCATGCCATCCATTTTTGAAGTTTTTCTGAACTTTATTTGTGTTCTTTTTGTGAAAGTTTGCAAATTTCCCTATATTTACCAACCAAAGCATTCATAGTTATCTGTTTCATACGATCACATTGTTTGGTTACATTTGGGTACTTTCCCTGCAGTCTTTCTGTAGTCTGTATACATATTTTCTGGTTTTATGTTTGCTTTGCATTTCTTGCTATTAAATTATAGTTTGATTTTCCTGTACACTTTAAGTTTATTTTAAATATTCTATTATTTTTTTTCTAATACTACAACTTCCTATAGTTTTTTATGTTCTGAAAATTTACTCCTAATTTCATCATATTTTTTAAATTAAAAAATTAAATGCTGGCTCCAGGACAGACCCAGATAGACATTAGTGAATGTATTAGGCGTATCACGGATCTATTAACTATTTGGGGGGGCCATCTAGAATACCTAGAAATAGTTACTCTAAGGTTACCATCACTGCCTTCAGAAGCTTTATAAGTGAAAAGATTGTATAAAATAAAACAAAAACAAGTCTTCTCTAGTTACAGCAATGCAGTCATAGTCTGGCGTGGTCTCTGGAGTCAGAGTGAGGAGGAAAGCCTCTGCAAAAGAGTCTTACTAATTTGTTACATTTGAAACAAGGTTTTTTCAATTTCAAAAGTTTAATTCACCTTTTAAATTTATTGTCCTGACATATATATTTTTAAATATAGAAAAGGAAAAAAAAACTGTCCTAACCTCACCATTCAGAGATAGTTTATTTTAGTATATTTGCTTTTGTTTCTTTGTTCATAGAATATATGATTTGTTAAACCAACTTTATCTTTTTATATGTTGTAAATATTTTTATGTCATGGTATGTAAGTATATGTGAAGCTGACCATTATTTGTTGGTGAGAAAGAGACATGGATTACCAAAAGGAATCATTCTTGTTATTCTCTTAGTAACAGTATACAGCAAGCCTTATTTTACAGTGTGGTAGGTTTAACAAACCTTTTTTAAAAAAATCATGTACTGACCTTTTAAGGAATAATTTAAAATATACATCTATGTTCAAAATACGTACATGATATCTGAGAGTAAAAATTAATCTAGTATCTATTGAGGTTATTCTAATCCTATATGAAAGAAAATTAACTGTTGGGTCTATATTTGCTAATTTTACCTGTTTAATAGTGTCTGCTTTACACTTTTTAGGGAGTGATGAGTAGAATCTCTGTCTTAGTTACTTTTTGTCAGTGGGACACAATACCTGAAACTAGAAACTTAAAGGAGAGGTTTATTTTGGCTCACATATTAAGTCCATAGTTGGCTGGTTCCAAGGCAGGAAAGTGTGGCAGAGGGGCATAGTGGAAAAAGCTGTTCGCACCACGATGTCCAGGAAGCTGACCTGGAAGAGAAGACCAGGCAAGGAGATGAACCCTTTCATGTCACGCCTCCAGTGACTCACCTCTCCCCAGACCCCACATCCTAACAGCAGATCAGCTGTATCCCAATAATCCAGTCACCTTCCCAAGCCCCACTCAGCACATTTTGCTTTTGGGGGACATCTAGATATAAACTTTAACACTGTCATGTTATTACATTTATATGTATAATAATATTTACATCTTTGTTATCTAAGATTTTATTAAGTTGTAGGCAGTGAGTAGTTACTCTAATTAATGTAAGTTAATTAAAATTAGGGTAGTGGGATATATAATGATCAAAGTAATAATATGCATATATGAAAACATCACAATGAAACTCATTGTTCTGTACAGTTAATATGCAGCAGCAATAAAAATATCTAACATACAAAATTGGAAGATCTTTTAATAATTCCTGGATGCACTGTAATTTTATTAGTGGCACTAGATTTTTATTTTCATTTATTTGTTAATTTATTGATTTTTTTATGGTACCAGGAGTTAAACCCAGGGCCTTCACACCAGGATGCCTAAATTATTGAGGCTGGACTCAGATTGGCCATCCTCCTGCCTCAGTCTCCTGAGTATCTTGGATTATGGGCATGTATCAGCATGCTATACTTCACACTAAACTTTTAAAAATAAATAAGATTGTTTCTGTTTAAAGGTTTGTTAGGTTTGAGTTTCACTCTTTTCTTAGGAAGAGTGAGCCACTACTCTTCATCTTAATTCCTGCATCAATACACCAGCTGGCACTGAAAGGTGGTACCCTGTCCTGTCACAGAGGCTATGAAGTGACTTAGTCATGCACAATAGACACCCACCAAGCCCTAAGTGGGCTATTTGACTCAAACAAGTGTATTTCTTTTTTCATAAGCTCTAAATTAATTTAAATTTTGTTTCTCTAATATATGGATATGGTTGTTTTATTTTGGTACACTAACAAGATGAATGATAGCCAAAAATCATTTTTAAATTATGGTTTTAATAAGTTGCTATAAATTTATGAAAAACCTTCATATGAATTTACACAAAACATGAACAAAATTTTTGCCTCACATTTTCTTAGAAGTTATGCCTGCCTAAGTAGAAGGGCAGAGGAAAAAGTAGTGATTCTTCTTGACAAAGGCATATTGTGCTTAGAAATAGTGGTTATATATCATTACACCTTTGAAAGCTCCAGGGCTTTCCCAGCTGTGTAACACAATACTGTTGTGTGCAGCAGAAAACAAAAAGGTAAGCTAATGTGTTTTCTTTTAAGGTTGGTTTTAAAGTGTATAAATTGTCACTCTTTATGACTGTTCTTTAGATTTCAGTTGTGCCTCTTAAACTTCTACAGGTACTTAAAACAGAAGCTGAGGAACTTGTCTCTAGAAGCTATTGGGACACACTGAGACGTAACACAAGCCAAGCACTCTTTTCAGACCTCGCAGAGGTACAATTAAACCCCTACAGTTTCCTTGTACTGCTTGCCATTTTGTTCATCTAGCCTCATTTTTTAGAATCATAAGGATGAAATAAAAAGTGTACTATATTTTCTCTTTTCTTACAATATTTAAACTGCTTATTTAAAGATGCCAACTGGTCAGGGGCTGCAAACCACTTTTAATAATCTACTGAATGAACTTCTTTGTTGCATAAAGCACAGCTGGCCAATTTAGCTGAAAGGAAATATATATTTTAATTAAGGATCATTTTCTCAAATTTTGAAAATTATACTGTTATACTTTCTCTGAATCTTTTAAACTGACAGTTCAGTATAATATGAAATGCCAAGATGTTTTACTTGGTATAAGTTGACTCATGGTAGATTTACACAGTTAAATTTTCTAGTATTAGTAGTAGTAGCTTGCAAAGGCAGGGGAATGAGGTTGAGGTGGAGGGTTCTCATAGAACAATTAATTGATGGAGTGAGGAGTATTATTTAAGATTGTCAGTACATGGTGAAAATAAAAGGGAAACTGAGCCTATTTTAGTTTTATTACTGTTTTTAATTTGATATGGGCATGTACCTATTTCTGTCCTCAGAGTAGTCTGCTTCTACCACCTCACTGTTAGGCTGTAGTCAATAAGGATTTTAATTTTAAAAGATGGACTGTATCTTATAGATCAAATGTTGTTTTATGTTTCCTAATAAGAATTTTTGTAATTAAAACTTTTATAATTAAAAGTATCATAAAAGATTATTATTAGAGAAATCTGTCAGTCTTCCTGGAAAGGACTTTTCAGTAAATACTAAAATTTTGTTTTTTTATCTTTTTCTCTTTTAAGTTGGCTTCTCTTTTCTTTTTCTAAACTTCTAAGTTTAAGTTTTACAAATTACACCTTAAAAATAATTTTAAATAATTTTAAAGTCCCAAAACAGATAAATAATGCATTTTGCAACCTGTATGCCCATCAACAGATGAATGGATAATGAAAATGTGGTATTTATATACAATGGAATACTACTGTGCTATAAAGAAGGACAAATTTGAGTCATTTGTAGGAGGATGGATGTACCTTGAGGCCATAATATTAAATAAAATACACACACAATGCAAAATATAAACAAATTAAGAAAGCAAAATAAAAGATAGAGATAATAGGAAACAGGGAGACACTTATTTTGCAAATGAGAAGACAACCAAAAGATGGAGGGTGAGCAGAAGGGGACATAAAAAGAATTAAGATATGTTATGTACATATACCAACTCTCTACAATGAATGTAATCATTATATACCACAAACGTCTACCAGTAAAAATTAAAAACTGTTCAAAATTGCATTTTACCCTTTGTTTAGTCTGAGATATAAAAATATAACATAACTTAGACCAGCTATTAAAGTTACCTTTTAAATTTGAGCCATTGTGTTGGCCTGAATTGGCAGATGTGCCATTTACAGATATCCCAGAAGAGCTCTATTTTGTAATCATATATAGGTAGGCACATAGTAGTCTATGCTTTAAAATAAGAGCAACTGGGAACACGATCCTTGTGAGACTCTACAAGCCAACCGTGGCCTCCCTACTCAAGTTCAAATGAACAGTAATGTGACTCTTGTGTCTCTCCACACTAGTATCCACCTCCTAAACACGGCCCTTCCTTAATCCCATCTAACTGCTGTAAATTCCCATAGACAAAATTTGCCCATTAGATTTTGAATTTAATTAAAATCTTGAGATTCTTTTTATCAGAAGACCAGTCAGGTCTTGTACACACAGATGCTGATTTATGTAAGATCTCTGGAAAGAGATTATGGGTTCTTTCAGGGTTACAGTGGACCTGGCTTTTACAGCTTCTCGGAGCCAGTTTTGCACATCTCTTCCCAGCTTAACAATCTGTGACCTCCCTGTGGTCCCTTGAAATTAGCTACGTAGAACAGCAGCACCACAGAAAGAAGCTTTACATATCAGCCATTTTTTTAGTTTTCTGGAGTATGAATTTACTAGTATACCAGTGGCTATGATTAGTCTACACTATGATCATAAAGTGCCGAATTAGTTAGTAAATGGACTCAAACATCAAGAAGTAAATCTGATAAAAGATACACAAAGGGGCCAGAGGTTTAGCTCAGTGGTACCGACGTCTGCCTCTCAAGTGTAAGATCTGGAGTTCTATCCGGTACCCTCAACCCCCAAAAAAAGATTAAAAAAAAGAAAAAGTGAAAAAAATTAAAATTTGTATTATGTTCCAAAATTAAAATAATTAGTTGGGGGTTATCTCTGTAACTACCCTCCTATATTGCGGAGAATAATAATAAAATTAACTATAATTAAATTACACCTAATTCTAATTCCTTATAGGTCACTACAGATACCAGTATAACATAGACAGTTTATAATATTAGTATTTCAGGGTTCAAGTTGATTCAAAAAGAAAGCTTAGAAATCTCTTTATCTTTGTTACATATTTAATGTATAATTTTGCATTTCTTTGTTACATGTGTAATTTAAGATAAAATAGTTCTCTTTACTATAAGTTAATTAGATATTGCCACTCATTCTTATTCGAGTGTTTCTAAGAATAAATTTTTTTAAATTATAGTAAAGCCATGTCTTTCAAATTATTATAAAATCATATAATGAAAATTTGCTTGTCACAGTTGACACCACTTTCTAACCAAAATCATATATAATAAATTCAGAGTACATGGTAAATATATTGTGCAACTATTAAGTAAGTCTGTCCATACCAGGGATTATAAACACTATTTTGCATACTAAGATGAAATTTAAATATTTTTATTTGCTTAAAACTTTTGTTGTCCTTAGTGTTTCAAGAAATTATTCAAACATTTCAATAAATTGTCTAAAGAATTCTTCCATCCCTTAGATAGAGCTTAAAATTGTTACTACATTGTAATCAGTAAAAATATACTGAAAGATGATTTTAAAACTTGAATAGTTTGACAAAGTTTCATTTAATATAAATTTATTTCATATTTTGGAAATCATTTAAATAATTTTTATGTATGTAGAGTGCTGGAGATTGATCCCAGGACCTCAGGCATGCTAAGCATACACTGTACCACTGAGCTATCCACACCCCCCAGCCTAAAGTAATTTTTAATCAAAACAAAATGAGATGATAGCCTTTCATGTAAATGGCCCATAGGTTCTTTTTGTGGCTTTTTCTCACATTTTCATGAAGACTTGTGGATTAATTGTATCTTAGCAAAGAAGATAAAAGAAGGGGATAAAGTATCTATTTTTATCTCAACCCTCTTTTATGTTGTTATATAACATGGATACTCAGGTCATTGGTGTAGTTTTCAATGACTTCAAGCAGTACTCTGTTTCACAACTAAGGGAGTTTTCTCCATTTCCATTTTCTGATTTTTTTCTCTCTGATGTCAAACTCTTCCCTATTCCTCTGTGGTTCTGGATTATCTGGGTACATGCAACCTGAGTGTAATAAGATTTGGGCGCTGAAAGACTGCGTGAAGCTCTGCCCTGCTCAGTGGGCATGAGAACTTCTAAATGAGGTCATTATGTAAAACCTGTATAAAACCAAGTCTTTAGTTTTAGTGTACTCTTTTTTGAGGTAAAGAATATCACAGCACTGGAGAAAACATTACTTAATTATATTTCCTGAGTTTGCTATGTTCCCAGAACCTCTCATTTTAAGGCATTTTTTTCAGATCTTTACAGCATATATTTCAGTAACCAAAAAGTGTGTACTATGGAAAAAAAAAATCCCTTTATTTACATTTCAACATTACTATGTTTTTGTCATCTAGTCCTTTTTCAACTTCTTAAAACATTAACTTGACAAGAATAACAATAGTAAACTTTGTTGGGAGTTCAGGATTGATTATACTGGGATTGAACCCAGGGTCTTCTCACTGTGCTACATCCCCACCACTTTTTATATTTTTTATTTTGTGATAAGGTCTCACTGTGTTGCCCAGGCTGAGCAAAAACTTGGGATCTTCCTGTTTCAGCCTCCTAGAGTGCTAGATTACAGGCATGTGCCACCACACCCAGTGTAGCTAAAATTTCTCAAACATTTACAATCTGAACATGCTTGTCACAGTGCTAAAAATTTACATGTGCTATCTCATGCATATGTACTATTATTACTCTTGTAATATCCTGAGAAAGATTAACTTTTCTAAGTTCACATAAATAATGAGAAGGATCAACATTCAGTGCCAGCCATCTGACTCTTGATCTTTGCTCACCACACTACTGTGAAGTAAGCACCTTTTAAAAAGGTTAGTGCCCTGATGAAAGGAAGCTGGTTTATGAACATTTGGTCATTCTTATGTCAGCTCCAAATACTCGGTGCACCTGAAGAATTTATCACTTTTGAACATACTAAAAGAAATAGATTTTTTTCAGGTTTATTAGGAAAATCCAAATTAAATTATTTAATTAAAAATACCACATTTAGATGATTACTAGAGGATTTAAACTATTTTAAATAATTTAGCATGTGCCTGCAATAATTTGAGGTTGAAATTTACATAAAGTATCATCATGTCTTCAATATTTTTTGAAGAAAAACATCAGTTTTGTTCAAATTTGTTTTCAAAATATGAATTTCATTTTAACTATAATTTCATTTATAAATTCAGCCTGTGCTTTTCACTGTAACATTAGTAGCACTGCGTTTTTATATTTATATGTTGATAAAATTCTTTGAAGGGTGTTGGATATCTCTATTCTCTTTCTTTTATTGCAATTAACTTAATTTATGGAATTTTTAAGCGTGCTGATGACATTACAAGTTTAGTAGCAGATACTACACTTCTTGTCCACTTCTTTGGAAAGAAAGGAAAAGCTGAACTCAACTTTGAAGATTTTTATAGGTAAGCTTAATTTTTACTAAAAATTATTAGAATACTAAAATTAGAAGGGTTTTGAGAGATAATCTAACTGCTGCTGATAAGCAGTTTGCTACCTTCATCTCAACTAAGAATACTTTGTATGATAAATATGCGTTTTTGTCAGTGCCTATAAACTAATGTATCAGTAATTATAACAAGTAATTAATGAATGATAAAATATCTACCTGGGTTTTTATCTACTATATATTCAGAAGAAAGTACGTTGCCATTTCTTTAGTCTGAGTAAGCCACAATAACAACAACGAACATTACTATTCTGCAAGCTACTTTTTATTTTTCATTAAGTTTATTGGTACATTTTAGGTATACAATATGATGACATTCATCATTGGGAATTTGTGCCTTTTTTTTTTTTTTTTAGCTAAATCCCCAGCCAGGAAGTTGTACCTTTACATGATATTTCTTGGTTATCATTTTTTCTCCATTCCCCTTCAACCCCTCCACGTTGAGGCTATACTCTTAAATGAAATAAATAGGACATGTGTAAATACCAAATAGTTTCCCTGATGTGAGAAACTGAAAGTGTAAATAAATAAGGATCAAAATGTATGATAGATAATGTGAAACAAGAAGACAAGTTCTAAAGGGGGAGGGGGAAGTGGGAAAGGAAAAAATATGAGAAACGCAAGCTACTTTTATTATCCCCACTTCACATGAGGGAAACTCAAGCCCTGAAACGTTAAGTTACTTGCTGGAACTGCTATAGTCATTGAGTGCTAACACCGCTCAGAACTTGTACGCTTTGCTTCCTCATTACACAGAGAAACTTCATGAAGCTTTTGTCATATAATTTAATCAGTCATGTAACCTTTTCTAGGACAGTGAATGTTTGCCCATTTATCTTGTTCATTCTTTATTATACTTTTTTTTTTCATAGATTCATGGATAACCTCCAAACAGAAGTTCTAGAAATAGAATTCCTTTCTTACTCTAATGGAATGAATACTATCAGTGAGGAAGATTTTGCTCATATTCTTTTACGATACACAAATGTGGAAAATACATCGGTATTTTTGGAAAATGTGCGTTACAGTATACCTGAAGAGAAGGTATCTAATCCCTCATGTTTATTTTGTTGCATCCATTATTTATATTTATGTAGCTCTACAAAATATCTTTCCCTTTTGGTTAGTTTTATTTCTTTGTAAATTAAGATATTCTAAATATATTTTACTTTTTCTTCTGTGTCCTCAGTGCTCTGTCTAAATTTTTTAAAATTATTAACTTTAAATTCTGGATTAGATTCCCATCTTTTTCTTAGGTATGCTGACAACCCTTATGGATATTAGCAGTTACTTTATTCAAATTACAAACATTATTTTTCAAGAGAATTCTCCTGATTTGTATGCTTTGACTACCATGTAAGCATCACCTCATATAAACAGTTTATATTGACTGTTTCTGTCACACTCTGTTCACTTCTATAACACCCTTTAGAAGGTCATTTGAAGACTGACATTGATGAGTGAGTGATCTTATCAGAAGTTGAAGTGAGGCTTTTCAAAGAGTTTGGATGGCATGAATGGTTAAGAACCTGGGACAACTGGTTGTCTATTTGTTTAGTAACAAAATGTGTTGTCAGCCCTTCTAGAGTAACATTATCTAGTGGTATTTGAATGCACCATTGCAACCAAATAGAATTGGTGTCACAAGGACCCCTTTAAGCATGGGGATGTTTTGGATATATTGCCTTCTATTTGTGTTTGTAGGAGGATCAAGTTAATCTATCCAAGAAAAACACTGCAAATAGTTTGACTTTGTTTAAAATGGATAAACTGTGATGATATTAACAATTCTGTAGGTCCTCTAATGGAGAAAAAAAAAAGGGGGCTTGATGTATTTGGCCATTAGTATACATTAACTTTTAACCAGCAGACTTTTATCTGTTTTTCTTGTAACTCATAGACAGTTCCTAAAAATAAATATTGGAAGTTGTACCACTCAAAGTACTAGACTATTATGTAGACTATCATGAATCTGTTTTTTCTTTCATTAAATGGAAACATCAACTTCTATAACCCAGGTCAAATTCCAAGAATGATGAGTTTATAAGAGCTTGTTGTACTATTTTTACACTTAAACTTATTCCAAAATAAGTATTAAGTTAAATTCAGCTTCTGAAAATTTTTAGTTAAGGCACTAAAAACCATTATAATAGAAATGGAAAATTTTGGTAATTTTTTTCTAGATTATCTTTTCAGTTCTCACCATAAATTTATAGATGTGTTCCTTGTTTATGCTTCTTTAGCTATTAGCATTTTTAACTATTTTATTAGTACAGTACATCTTCCTTTTAGAAAAAGGGAGACTGGAGTTTTCAGGTACAGGGATACTTATCTAGGTATTCAAGTCCAGAATTTTCATCTCCACCATACTCTACATGCCTTTCCCTTTCTTCCACCTCTCATCTTTTTCTCTCTGTTGGAAAAAACAATACTACTATTTGACTATTTTGTATTTCTAAACTACTCATTTTCAGTCACTTATCTAGCACATACTTATTTTCTATTTATGAGCTTGGTCTGGCTACTAAGAATAAAGCAGTGCTATAAACAAAATCTTAGTAGAGGGATAAAATCAATAATGATAATAAATGGAAGTGGACCAGGAATCACAGGGCCTGGAGAAGCAGGTAGATTATCAGGGAGAGATCTAGTGAAAAGGTGGCATTTGAGGAGAGCCTGTGAAGAATAAGCTATATAAAGACCTAGAAGAAGAGCATTTCAGGCAGAGATATCAGCAAATAGCAAAGGTCCAGGGAAGGAATAAAGGTTGGTTTAGCTGAGAAAATGCCAAGAAGCATTTCATAAGTAAACAGGAAAGTAGTAAGTGATGAAGAGGGAGCAATAGATAGGAGTCAGGTCTTAAAGAACCCTGGAGACTAATGTAAGGGAGTTTAGATATTTTACTCTGATAGTGATAATGAGTGACAGAAAGCTGTTACAAAGTTTTAAATTTTAATCCCCCCCCCCGCCACTGCCACCACCCATTTTTGTATATAAAGTCTTACTGGAACGTAGCCCTTCTCATTCATTGAATGCCTTGTCTGAGGGTACTTTTGCACCATAATGGTAAAATTGAGAAGTTTCAGCAGAAACCACATGGGCAGCAAAAATGAAAATATTTACTCCCTAGCCCTTTTCAGAAAAAGTTTACAAGCCTTGCTTTAAGCATAGGCATGCCATTCATTCCTTCTTCATTCAACAAGTATTCAGTGTCTGCCGTGACACTCTACTGTGATCTAATTCATGTACCACATGCAATCTGATTGATGTTTCACAAGCTCATCTTGGCTTCTACATGTCAACAAGCTTCAGTTGGCCCAGATTTGAAAGAAACAAGTTAAGATTCTCTTATTAGGATTCCAGGTAAGAGATAAGCATGGTTTGGACTGGGATAAAAGTAGGGAAAATAAGTGAGGTATTGGATCATTTAAAGCAGAACTGATAGAACATGTTCTTGGATTGTACTTCAATGTGAAGGAAAAAGAGGAATCAAGAATCCTTAGGTTTTGGCCTTGACCACAAGGTGCAACAATGGTAGCATTTATGGAACTAGGTAAAACCACAGATGTAGAATTAAGAGACAATCAGAAGTTTAACTGGGGACAAGCTAAGGTTACTTAGATATCTGGGTGAAGATAGTAAGCAGTTGAATATGTGCATTTAGCCTTCACAGTACAATCAGGACTACAGATCAGGAGTCATTAATGTATGGATATCAAGATTATGGCTTACGGGTTGCAAAATTGGTTCCACATACCATCTCCCCACTTTCATTTAATGAAAACTCCATTCTTCCTAGTTCACTTCCAAAACATTTTAATTGTACTGAAGTAAACCCTGATAACATTGAGCAGATCCTCTGCATTTCCTTTTGCTCCACCCCCTTGGAGCTGTCACTCTGCTTTCTGTCCCTGTGGATTTATCTATTGTAGATAGTATAAATGGATCAATATATATATGTGAACTTTTAAGTTCTTTGATAATGTTTTTGAGGTTCATCCACATCATAGCAGGTATCAGTAGCTCATTGTTGCAATGGCCGAATGATTATAATTATATGCATATACCAAGGTGTGTTTATTCCTTCATCCATCCATAGATAATTGAGCTATTTCTGCCTTTTGGCTGTGTGAATGTAGATGCTAAGAATATACATATACATGGATTTGTTTGAGTACCACTTTTCATTTCTTGTGAGGCAGGCGGTAGAACCACTGAGGTAAACCCCCGGCCCCTATTTTTTATTTCTTTTCTGTTTACACCTAGAAGTGGAATTGCTGTGTGATACATTATTATCTGTGTTTTTTCTTATTATGATAACCATGCTAATGGTCCCCACGTAGTCACTTTAACTACAATCTTTATTCCTTCATGTGGCTACAAATAGTTATTTTCTTTATTTTCGGCCCGAAGTACTTCCTCTAACATTTTTAGGAGGGAGGTAGTTAAGAGTACATGTGTGAGTAATAAGCAGTTCTGCCTTTTGTTTATCTACAAATGTCTTAATTGCATCTTTATTTTTGAAATATTGTTTTGCCAAATATACAATTCTTGATTGATGGACTTATTTCTTTTTTTTTTCTCATTGAGTTTCTTGGTACATTTTAGGTATACAGTACAATTACATTCATCATCGGGATCTTGTACCTTTACATGACAGGTCTTGGTTCTCACTTTCTCCCCTTATCCCTGCCCTCCCTTCAGCCCCTCCTCCCTTCCCCATTTACAAAAACTTTATTTCCATTTTTTCATTTTCTCATATTTTTTTTCTTTTCCCTTATATGCTTTCCCCTACGCTTCCCACTTTCCCTACACCTTTAGGCCATTTCTTCCTATTTCACATTGTCAATTATACCATTAAGATCTTACTTACAATTATAGTTTTGAACACGAAAGAAACTATTTGGTATTTATACATGTGTGACTTATTTATTTCACTTAAGAGTATAGCCTCAATATGCATCCCATTTTCCTATGAATGACTCTAATTTCTCATTCTTTATGGCTGAATAATATTTCATTTTATAGAAAAACCACATCTTCTTTATCCATTCTCCAACTGATGGAAAACAGGGCTGTTTCCAAGTTTTAGCTATTACAAACTGTGCCGCTATAAACATGGGTGTGCATATATCACTGTAGTATGATTCTTTTAATTCTTTTGGAAAAATACCCAGCAGAGGGATGTCTGGGTCAAATGGAACCTCTAATCCTAGTTTTTTGAGATATCTCCATATTGATTTCCATAGTGGTGACACCAGTCGGCACTCCAACCAACAATGGAGAAGGGTTCCTTTCCCACCACAACCCCACCAACATTTGTTATTGGTTGATTTTTTGATAGCAGCCATTCTTTCTGGGGTGAGGTGGTATCTCAGTGTTGTTTTCGTCTGTATCTCCCAAATGACCAGTGATGTGGACATTTTTCATATATTTTCTTGTTGCTTTTACTTCTTTGTCTGAGAAATGTCTGTTCATTTCAGGTGCCCATTTTTGAATCGTGTCTTTATACTTGGCAGGGCTGACTTTTTTGAGTTCTTTATATATTCTAGATAATAGTGCTTTGTCTGAGGACCAGCTGGTAAACATTTTTTCCCACATTGTAGGATGTCTCTTAGTTCTATTGATGGTTTCTTTTGCAGTGCAGAAGCTTTTTAATAAGATGCGATCCCAGTTGTTGATTCTTTGTGTTAGTTCCGATGCTACCAAGGATTTGTTCATAAAGTTTTTTCCTATGCCAATGTCTTCAAGAGTTCTGCCTAACTTATTTTCCAGTACATTTAGTGTCTCTTTTTTAATATTCAGAGCTTTACTCCACTTGGATTTTAGTTTAGTGCATGGTGAAAGATAAGGGTCTAGTTTTAATCTTTGGCAGGTTGAAATCCAGTTTTTCCAACACCATTTATTAAAGAGACTATCTTGCCTCTAGTGAGGATGGTTGGCTCCTTTGTCAAAGATAAGGTAGCTGAGTACATCTGGAGTTGTTTCTGTATCTTCCAGTCTATTCCACTGGTCCTCAGGTCAGTTTCTTTGCCAGTACCATG